CACATTTCTTTTGCTTTTCCAAGAGCTGCCTTCTGGCCAAAGCATTTAAAGTGATGACAGAGATTTCATCCACTCTTAAGTGCCTGGATTTGTGCTGCCAATATCCATTTTGGACATTATGCTTCAACCAAGCAGGGATTTACCACAACACCTTCAAACAGAGGCACGGGCAGCAACAATCCTGCCGCAGTGGGGGCTGAAAAAGGTTCCTGAGAAAATCCCTTTGCACACACTTGATGAGTCAAATATAAAGCCTTTAACAGATCCTGGGTGGTGGCAGTTCCAGCTGTGGATGTTGCCTGATGGAATCCTGGATTTGCCCCAGGTAAGCACAACCTGCTGCTGTCAGGGGGACCTGCCTCAGTACCCAAACCAGGTTTGTGCCAAGGGTTATGAGCCAAAGCTGCTGGCACTGGCTGCAGCCCACCTGGGGTTGGTGCCTTCTCCCTGTTGTGCCCCCCAGGCTCTTACCTCTTGTCATCCTTGTACCACTGGAAGTCGGCAGAGGGGACAGCAGAGGCTTCACACAGCAGGATGCCCTTCTGCCCCACGGGCACCCCGGTGCTCTTGGCATCCGAGATGTACGGCGGGTCTGCAGAGAGAGAGAAACCTGGGGTGAGCACCCAGCAGCCTTTGGGACTCCTTTCCCTCCCCCTTGCTCCTCAAGATCTCCTTTCTCTCCCTCCATGTGGGCAGGAACCAAAATCATCTCTGAACCAAAACCATCTCTGACCCCATGCTCAGCTCCTGCCCCTCTGGTGCTGCTGTTCAGAGGTTTTCAGGTTCATGGGGGTTCTCTTCCAAAAAGAGACCCCCAATTCATGGTTGTTAGATGTCCAGCTAATGGAGTTACCAGAGAGAGGTTTAGGAGGGTTTTAATGTATGTCTAAATATTAAGTATGCTGCTTTGTTCCTCTTTCTCATTTTTTTCAAACAGAAAAAGAAAAAAAAAAAAAGAAATTCTATTTACTGCTCACTTCTCTCCTCTCCTCAGAGGTTATCAGCACAGCATCTCTCCATAGGCAGAAAACCCAGGTTGATGGAGACAGCTGAGGAGGAGGTGGTGGGAAAAAATGGAGCTCGAAAAGAAGGGGAAAATAGGGCAAAACACCACCTGCTCAGAAAAACTGCTGCTAACTGTCTCGCTATGGGGCCTTTGTGTGCGTCATTTCCAAGTGCCACTCCCTTGCAGGGCAGCATGGTGACCCTCTCCAGCCCCACCCCTGTCCCCTGACGGCCCCCAGGCACTCACAGTTGACGGTGACTTTGACTCGCCGGACCACGGGCGCTGAGACATCGTTGGAGGCGCTGCACTCGTACTCTCCCGACTGCTCCCGTGTGATTCCTGTGATCTCCAGGTACTCATCCTCACTGATGAAGCCCACGGCTGCAGAGGCAGAGACAGAGGGTCCTGAGTGATGGGGAGGCACAACAAACCTGTGCCCGCTGGCTGGTCACCATCTGTGAGTGTGTCACTGTGCACTAGGACACCCAGCCTGCAGGTCCCAGCCCAGAATGTGCCTGTGCCTTTCCATTCCAAGAAAATTATTCCCAGAAAGGTTTCTGCAAACACTGGGCTACTCCAGCAGCTCTGGCCTCACTGAGAGCATCATTTGCTGGAGATAATGTCCCTAAGGTGTTCAGGATGGGCAAAGAGGGCAAACCTGTACTCTGCAAAATGACCTGAGCTCACCTCTGCACATTCCCCCTGCTGGGAAGTACCTCCAGACTCACCCAGCTCACATAAACACCCTTCTCTAATTTTTCAGCTTCAATTAGTTCACAGCAGGTCTATTCCATTAGTGGTGGTGCTAGCACCTCGCTTTAGCTGAAACACCTCACCCCTGTGCCACCACAGGCTCATTTCTGGGGGGAGCTGCACTTGTCCCCCTCTTCCCCATCCAGACTGCAGTGCAGCTTCTTGTTTTGCTCAAAGCCAGAAAGATGCAATCAGTGGCATTTCATTTATTCTGGCATCTTTCAGCTCCCATTCCTTGCAGGAGCTCTTTATTTTGACACACTCCTGGAAACACACAGTGCTTGGCTGGCTGGGAGAAGGTTGGGGCAAAAGACCCTCCGGGTTCTTCCCCCAAACAAGCAGCAAAAATTACTTTTTGAAGCCCCCAAAATAGAGACAACTTCTCTCTTTCCTGTTGTTTACATCTCCCCACTGGATCTCCTGTAGCCAGGATGCTGTAATTACTGCACAGAGCATCTCAGAGCCCTGTGTCACACTTAATATTCCTATAAATTTTAAACGGTAGTCCTTGGTACATATGTGTGGCAATTGGTGTCATATTTTAATTAGGCTTGCCCTACACCATCTGAAATTAATAATAGCTCGAATTACCAGTGTAATTTATAAATTAACATTGCTGCAGCATTAGGAAATAAATTAGCTCTGGACAGCTGTTTCTGGGAGTGAGTGCCAATGGCAGAGAGGCCAAGCACAGGTCCCTGGTCCCCAGGGGGACGCTGTGAGCTCGGCCAGCCCTCGCTTCCCACCCGGATACCGCTGCCCGTGCTGGCGTGACCTGGCGGGCCACACCTCGCTGCGCTTGGCCGGTCAGCCGTGTGCATCCTGCTCCTTACAAATGTATGCAAAATCCACACGTGGGAGGCCCCCAGCGGGGCACACACCGCCTGCATCCCACCGGCTGAGGCTTTTATGGCATTTCTTTCCACACTGCAGGAATGGTGAGGTCAGACTCCACCACCCATCACAGAAAGACCCGAGCCACACCGATGGTGTTCCTGTAATGCCCTGGAACAGCTCGGCGCAGTGAGCACCCCAGGCATCTGCCAGGATTCTGCTGCTGCAATCCCAGGTGCCACTATTGTCATCTCAAAGTCGTGCAAATATGCTCAGCCGTGATAAAATCCCACCTTGGCTCTCTCCCTGCACCAGACCTCGCAGCTGCCACCTCCACACAGCATCCCTGGGACTTTGCACGTCCACTGCTCCCTGAACTGAGGTGTGCATCCCACCTTCCCAGGCTGACCTAACTGGGAAGGCAGCCCTGTGAGCTTTGCAAAGGAGTGAAGTGAGTTTTCCTGTTGATGAATTGCTGACATCCACCAGTGTCCTCAGCCGTGTGCTGAAATTCCCACCCGAGTGGCTCGTGGAGCAAACCGCTGAGCTCATCAGTACTTAGTGCAACTGAAGGGTGAGATATGAAGGCGTTACCCCAAAATCAATATTCTTTAGAGACACACAAATTACAGCGTTACATCCAGCGGCCCTGCAGCACTGCAAAAAAAAAAAAAAAAAAAAAAAAAGGAGGAGAAGGGGAAAAAAAAAATTCCTTTCTGTGGCTGACCTAGAATCAGCTTCTCTGTAGCACAGCGCTGCCTGCTGATAAAGTAACGACACAGCCAGTGGCCCTCAGATGCTCGGCACACAAATCTGACTCTGGGCTGTGCAAAGGCTCAAATAACACTGCTTTCCAACTCACCAAAGGCCCTTTCCCAAGTTCAGGAGCTGGCTCACAGACGGCAAGAATTAGCTCTTGCCATAGTCAAGTCATAATTTGTGTGTCTGGTTTGATCAGGGAGCAAAGCAGCTCGAGTGCATTTTGTTTCCCAGCAAAAAGAGTTCATTAAAGTAACTGTGAGGGTCAGATTTCCACCTGCAAAAGCTCAGGAAATTGGGGGATGGAGGTTTCCACCATGCCTGAGTTGCACTGAAGTTTGATGTGCATGGCAATCAGCTGATGGAGAGGCAGAGCTCGAAATTCAGGGGCTCAGGATCTGGCATCTTGGAAATTTGGCTACAGCCAAACAGAGCTGGAGCTGACTCCTGTTTCTGTCCTGTGCACAACCTGATGTAAGTCATGCTCAGATGACAATGGCATTAGGAATAACATCCCTGCAAGAGGCTCTGGCCCAGGGACGCCTCCTCAGTGCCAGCTGCAGCATCTCAAATATTTAGGTGACATAAAGAGTCCCTGCTCGCTGGTAAAGCAGGTGACACCAGGTGACCAAGAAAACACTCCCCCATCGTCTTCTATACAAGTGGCTTTGCAGGAAAACCAGGTCTGTAAAGCTGCTTCACTCTGTGGGATCACATCCTGGAAAAACCTGGAACTTGGGAATGCACAGGGTAAGGCTTGACCTGAGCCCTGCAGCTCCAGGAGCTCTGCCAGACACACCAGTCCTTCTCTGCCTGAACTGATGGTGGGAACTTTCAAGGCTGTCTCTGCTTGAGCACAATTAGGAGCTGAAATATTGCAGGAATTAACGGAGAGCTCTCTCATCTCCTCAGGAGCTAGAAAGCCAGCACAGCCAGCACCCATCATTATTATTATTAATACTAATAATATAATACAGGCCAGAAATGGAATGGCCATGGACGATGCACAAGTGTAATCCTTGCTCATCAGCCAAGGATGATGAACTAACCCAGTGCGAGCAGGGGAGATGGAAAATCAGAGCCTGAATCCTTGAGCTCACTGAGCAGAGGCTGCACACAGACCTCCACACACTATTTAGGACTTGCTCTGCAGATCTCTGTTAAAAGCCTCAGGGAAGGGGAAGTTTGACCATCACAGCAGTGGAGGAGACACGGAGGTGAGGTTCTGGTGTGGCACAGAGCACCAAGGCAAATCCAACAGATGGCCAAGCTGTGCTTAGGGTCCCACACAGCGTGGATGCAATCAGGTGTGGGCAGATGCCTCCCGCATCCATATTCCTCCTTCCATCTTTCTCCTTCCCTTACTTCTCCTCGTTTTCCCATCCCCACTCATCTCCCTTCTGACTCCTCCTCCCCATTTGCTTCCATTGAGCCTCTGACAAGATAATAACTCACCAGAAAGTGAACACATGTTCCCAAATTAATTACATGCCATTGTCCCCTGGCTCAATGTTGCAGCCATGTTCAGGTCTCTAGGACACTGCTCACAGTTTTTCCTGGCTGAAAACTGTCCGTGATGCCACTGAAAAAGCTTCCTTGGAGCTCTTTCCTGTGTCCATACCAACTCCCTGCACCTCAGATCAAGCTGAGCCAGCCCAGCCACCTACAGCTGCAAGATTTTCACTTCTAAAGCCCAAAGGCAAAATTTCAACAGTGATCCCACAAAAGGTTTGGTCTATCGGTGCTCAAAGTCTCACCAGCGATCCCAAAGCACTGCCCTGCCCTCTACACAGTGCTGCTACATTTTCCAGGCACTGATCCCACTGGCCAGGATCAGCCAAAGAAAGGGAATATTTTATGGAGATAATTTTATTAAAATGTTTACAACAATGCAGATATTGACATCTCACTTCAATCAATAGCACAATTTATTGTCCTTCAAGGTGAACATTAAGCCAAGCTGCCCATTAGTCAATATTTACCTCCAAGGTCTATAAATCTTTATACGGGCTTCAGCGGATGTTGACAGCAGCTGATTCCAGATAAGTAAAAGTAAGAGCGTGAAACATTGCTCCTTTTGGAGGTGAAATAGTAACTAGTTAATTACAGTCCCTACAGCAATTCTCAACTATCAATTTATGGCTACTTCTGGCAATAAAAATTAACATCGCACACACTCCCGGCTCTGAGTGACGCACTAAACCCGAGAGCCATATATTTCAAACGTCACCCTGATGCGGTGCTGATGGCCATCCTATAACAGTTTATGGTAAATAAATAAAACACACAAAGGTAATAAGAGAATTGTTGGCACCTGAGACCTGCTTCACCTCTCCTTCATGCAGCACTGAGAGGAAAAGTGGAGGGTGGGAGATTTAGTAGAATCAGAGCAGATGGGGAAGTAGGTGGGGAAAAGAACTACTCCAAATTACCCCAAATCTCTCTCAAAGGAGGCATGACACAGCTCCAGGTAGGTGGGTAAACAAGACCTAAGGCTGCCTCCAGTACCTGCCCCAGCCAAACTGGGGGATGCACCTGCTTCATCTCTTATTAACTACTATTATCCTCTCCTGATGGCTCAATTAACAAATAAGGAACAAAGTTCAGGCATTTCTGAAATTCCCTTCCCCATTTTTGTTTGATCAGGTGAATGACCCCAGCTAGGGCAGCTTCTCCTCTGTGCACCCCATCTTTCCAGCTCCCCCGTGCCAGCTTGCAGCTGCCATGCTCCAGTGGACAAAGATTAGGGGTAATTAACCTGCTGGAAACCATCCAGCGCAATCATTCAAAAAATGATTTTTTTTAAGATTACCCTATCGACCCAGACAAACTCCTCGCTACCTCTTGTGAATATTGCATGCCTGAACCACAGGCTCCAGCACATTTCAATCTGTGACCCCCCCTTAGCTGAGCAATTCCTTTAGGAAGCACACCTACATGAGGTACAGGCTACAAACCTCCTGTTCTTCATGTTCACAAGCCTTCAGAAGCGGGACCGTCACCCCAGAAACGGGCACGCAGCATATCAGAGTCTG